AAAAAGCAAAAGAGTTTGTGGAATTCATCAAAGGTATCATTTTCATCACAGTTTCTATCTAAACACATTGCAGATCCTCGTTTGGGAATTGAAAATTATTTTATTTCCGCTGTGCATGATTAAGTAAATTCTCAACACTACACACAACATTTGGGGGGAATTATTTTTTTTCACTATTTTATGCATGGGGTCCACTACATTTGAGTTGAAATTCAAAAATCTGGTCCAATTCTAGTAAAAATTCCGTATACTTGAATCATTTTCCATATATATAGAGAGAGAGAAAAAGAGAGAGAGGAATAATTTATAGAGTACCGGTGTTCGTCTTATGCTAAGTACCGGTGACATTTCATACTTTTTTTTTACACATGAGTTAATTTTTTTAGTAAAAAAGTGAAATGTTTACTTATAGTTTAATTTTAAGTGATGAATTATTTTTACTTACTAGTAAATTTTACAATTTTAAGTTAATTGTACTTGTAAATATTTTTTTCACGAACTTTTTTTAACTTATAAGCAAATTTTTATATTTTATAAGAAAATGTTTGCCTTATTAATAGTATTGTTTATTACTTTATAAGAAACTTTAACATAAGAAATATTTACATAATATTTAAAAAATTTCAACGAGAAAATTTGATAATCTGTATAATGCTAAATTTGTAAAACTAAATTCATACTATATAAATGAAGAATTTTTAACAATTTAATCAACATGTTGATAAAATGCTGTAATGGTATTTCTTTAAAAATCGCGCATTGGTGTGTTCGATACGTATCATGTCAAGCACCCGTTCATGTTGGTGCGCATCATAATCTTTCTTTATGCGCACCTTCTCTTGTTCCGATCTTTGACTAACCAAAGCAGATTTTTAGCTATTGTGATAGAAAATGAAGGCTTCCAAGCATTGGGTGTAATGAATTTTAAGATTCCTATAACAGAAAATCATAGGAAAGGGTAACAAAGCACAGATCCAAACACATATACGAGCTGACAGAGAGGGGGGGCAATAAACTGTAGAAGCACTTAACCTCGTCAGGATAAGTCACTCTTGTAATAAAAATACGGAGGCAACAACCTCAAAACTATAATTTACTGGTTCAAAAAATAATCAAAGCAAAAATATATGAATCTTCTATGTAAACAACAAACTGATGAATGAAGTACATCAACTTCCTGATATTCCGGTCAAAATATCAAACCATTTGCGCAAGAAAATCTATAGACTGTGATTGATATATAATTGGCAGTAATCCTAGTAGGAATGCAAGTGTTCGAACTAGGGCTGGGCAAAATATCCGAACCGAACCGGAACCGAACCGAACCGAGCCGAACC